GTCTTGATTTTTATACCTAAATCAATATATAAGTAATCATTAAAAGCAAAGTTTATCCTTATACCCCTGCAGACAACACATGTTGTAGATATCACTCTCACGAATGGGTAGGGAATTTTAATCCCTTGGTGATTTCTGGCGAGCCACACATAACTTAATTGTCTATTTCAACTTAGTTCTGGGGATCTCCAGTCATATAAGTAGGGTTACTATTATGATGACTCTTATGTAATAGGCTTTAATCCCATTCCCTTCGATGAACTGTACACTAGCTCTTTTGTCAAACCTTTTGTTAACGGATCCACAATATTCTCTTTTGATTTTATATAATCTATTGAGAACGAATGGGTAGGGAATTTTAATCCCTTGGTGATTTCTGGCGAGCCACACAAAACTTAATTGTCCATTTCAACTTAGTTCTGGGGATCTCCAGTCATATAAGTAGGGTTACTATTATGATGACTCTTATGTAATAGGCTTTAATCCCATCCCCTTCGATGAACTGTACACTAGCTTTTTGTCAAACCTTTTGTTAACGGATCCGCAATATTCTCTTTCGATTTTATATAATCTATTGAGATTATTCCATTTGACAACAATTACCTTACGGTATTATGTCGACGACGAATATGTCGTGACTTACCGTTATACATATGATTATGTGCCCTGTCTATTGCAGATTGACTATCATAATGAATGCAAATAGCTGGCACAGATTTAGGCCGCATTGGAATGTCTTCTAAGAAGTGACGAAGCCATTCTGCTTCTTCTCCTGCTTTGTCTAAAGCAATGAACTCGGATTCCATTATGGATCGTGCGATGCATGTTTGTTTCGTGGATTTCTAAGAAACAGCAACACCTCCCAGAGTAAAGACATATCCACTTGTGGATTTTGAATCTTTAGTATCTGATATCCAATTTGTATCACAATAACCTTCGAGTACTGCTGGATATCGAGTAAAATTCAAACCATAATCACGGGTGAATCTTAGATATCTAAGAACCCGAATGATCGCCTTCCAATGGTCTTCTCCGGGGTTACTAGTGGACCTACTCAATTTACTGATAGCATAAGCTATATCAAGACGAGTACAATTCATTAGGTACATTAGGCTTCCAATGATTCGGGAGTATTTTAACTGAGACACTGCATCACCTTTATTTTTTGATAAATAAAGACTGATGTCTACAGGTGTTCTAGCTACATTCAAATCATCCTTGATAAATTTATCAAGAATTTTCTCAATATAATAAGATTGAGATAATGCATATCCGTCAAATGTTTTAGTAATTTTCATTCCTAATATAACATCTGTGACCCCCATATCTTTCGTATCAAGTCTTTTGTTAAGCATTTGCTTAGTTGATTTAATCATGTTTTGACTGCTTCCAATGATAAGCATGTCATCCATATAAAGACAAACTATGACATATCCTTGGTCAGCATTTTTAATCTAGACGCATTTGTCACATTCGTTTATCTTAAACCCATTAGTAAGCATTGCATGCTCAAATTTCTCATGCCATTGCTTAGGTGCTTGTTTTAATCCATAAAGAGACTTTACAAGCCGACAAACTTTCTTTTATTGCCCTAGCATTACAAACCCTTCGGGTTGCTCCATGTAGATCTCTTCATTTAGATCACCATTTAAGAAAGCTGTCTTAACATCCATTTGATGTATTTCTAATTTAAACAACGTTGCTATAGCAATAAGCATACGAATGGATGCTATTTTTGACACAGGGAAATGTGTCAAAATAGTACAAACCTTCTTTTTGTCTGTAACCTTTTACTACAAGTCTTGCTTTATACTTGTTTATTGAACCATCTGCCTTCATTTTTCTTTTGAATATCCATTTATATCCAAGAGGTTTAGAACCTGGTGGAAGATCCACCAATTCCCAAGTATGATTTTGCATCATGGACTCAATTTCATTATTAACAACCTATTTCCACAAAGGTGCTTCAGGACCTGTCATTGTTGCCTTAAAGCTTTGAGATTCATTTTCTAACAGGTATGTTAAGAAATCTGGACCAAAGGATTTTGATGTTCTCGCTGTCTTACTTCGTCTTGGTTCATCATCAGTTAAATCCTGTTGGTCGAGACCATTACTAATCTCTTGTGTTTGATTGTTATTAGTCTCTTGACTTTGTGTATAATCATAAGTTCTTTTCTGTGAACTTAATTCATGTCCTTTCTTGTAAGGAAAGATATGTTCAAAAAACACAGCATTCCTTGACTCTATAGTAGTGTTCACATTTATATCAGGTATTTCTGATTTATAAGTCAGAAACCGATATGCACTACTATTCTGAGCATAACTAATAAACACACAATCTACTGTTTTTGGTCCAATCTTAGTCTTTTTAGGAACAGGAACTTCAACTTTTGCCAAACACCCCCACACTTTTAAGTATTTGTAGGACGGCGGTCGACCTTTCCATAATTCATAAGGAGGGCTGTTGGTTTTCTTGTGGGGTATTTTGTTAAGAACATAATTAGCAGACAATATTGCTTCCCCACACAAGTTCTGTGGTAAGCCTAAGCTTAGTAACATGGTATTCATCATTTCTTTTAGGGTTCTATTCTTTCTTTCAGCAATTCCATTTTGCTGAGGAGAATAGGGTGCTGTAGTTTGGTGAATAATACCATGTTGTGCACAAAATTCATTTAATGGTGCATCATATTCACCACCTCTATCACTTGTAACCATTTTAATGGTTTTACCAAGTTGATTTTCAACTTCTGTTTTGTAGAGTTTAAACATTTCTAAGGCTTCATCTTTACTTCTAAGTAAATAAACATAACAATATCTTGTGCAATCATCGATAAATGTTATGAAATACAGTTTAAACAAATTTAAGATCACATACATCTGTATGAATTAATTCTAGAGGTTCATCGATAAATGTTATGAAATACTTTTTGCCTCCTCTAGTTTGAATAAATTTTAGATCACATACATCAGTATGAATTAATTCTAGAGGTTTGGTTTTCCTTTCAATCGATTTAAATGGAGCCTTAGTTAGTTTCGCTTCTACACAAACTTCACATTTATGATTAGGATTAATTTCAAACTTTGGTATATAATCCAAACCAATTAATCTACGCAAAGCATCATAATTTACATATCCTAATCTACCATGACATAAATTCGACTCAAGAATATAAGCAAAAGATGTATTATTCTTATTACTAGCAACTTTTGGTACAACTGTCATTGCATTTAGTTTGAAGAGACCATCACTCATGTATCCCTTACCAACATACATGCCACTTTTTGTTAATACAAATTTATCAGACTCAAATACAATCCTAAAAACATTTTTACTTAACAAAGAACCAGAAACTAAATTCTTCCGGATGTCAGGTACATGCAGTACGTTGTCAAGGGTCAGTTCTTTCCCTGATGTCATCTTCAAGATCACTTTTCCTTGTACAGCCACAGTAGAAGTAGAAGAATTTCCCATGAAAAGTTGTTCACCATTTTCAGTCTCATTGCAGGTAGTGAACATCTTCTTATCCGCACATATGTGACGAGTTGCTCCAGTGTCAACCCACCACTCTTTGGGATTTCCAACCAAGTTAGCCTCAGACACCACAGCAGAGAGGTTGATGTCACTCACTCCGTCAGAGATGTAATCCAATTCTGTTACATTGGCCTGATTGGTGGTGGACAACAACAACCATTATACAATGACAGAATCTACGGAACCTAAGTCCGGATACAATAATCAAATGGAAAAAGACCGGGGTCGCTATAGCTATTGTTGTCACATTGTTTAGGACCATCTACAATAAACTTCCTCTTTTTGTTATGTGGTTTATGAACTTGTTCAACCACATTAGCCTTGGACTCAATGAGATTTTTTTCATTCCTCTTTTAAGCCTTATGGTTATCTTCCTCAATTCTCAGTCTTACAATAAGTTCATCCATGGTCATCTCTTTGCGTTTATGTTTTAAATAATTTTTAAAATCTTCAAGCCAGTGGAAGCAGCGACTTGGAAAGACTCGCTAAGAGACATACCTTCTGAATGAATATCATGCAAAATTATTTGAAAATCTTGAACTTGAGAAATTACCGTTTGGGAGTTTACTATAAAAAATTTCAGAAATTTACCGACAACAAATTTATTCATGCCGACATCCTCTGTCTTGTATTTCTTCTCCAAAGAATCCCATAATTTCAGAGGACTGTAAACATTATACAACATGTTGTTAAGGCCATTAAGGATGTAGTTTCTGCATAGGAAATCTAAATGTTTCCAAGCATCTACAGCGGCAACAACTTGTCGATCACTTTCACCCTCTTTAAGTACTGGAGCCTCTTCGAGGAGAAATCGGGCTAAATTAAGAGTTGTAAGATAGAACAGCATCTTCTGCTGTCATCTCTTAAACTCAGTACCGTTAAATTTTTTCGATTTTTCTCCATGATTGATTGGTACTTGAACATAGTTATGGATAGGGACCGGTGTTGGTGTAACAATAGGAGTACCACTTCCAGTTGCAGTTGCAGTAGCAGTAGCCATAATCTTTGATTACGAAAATTAGAAAAATTGAACACAAATTAATTTTCTAGTTACTAAAACCAGAAAATAAATTATAACACAAAATAATTTTATTTTCCTTGTTACTAAAACTAAAAAAATAAAATACCACAATAATTTTCTATAACACAAAATAATATTCTGCAATTGTTAATGACACCAGTATATTACTACTAGTTGTCAAAGAAAATAGACTGTATATTACTACTATCTGTAAAATAGCATAAACCACTATTTGTTTTTCCAGCCAGAATATGTCTTTATGAAACTGTCCACATTCACCTTCTTCTTGGAACTGTCCACATTCACCTTCTTCTTGCTAACTCGTACACAACGGCTTAGCATTTCCATCCTGATTTGAGTTACTGGAACTGTCCACATTCACCTTCTTCTTGGCATTGAACGGAACTCGGCGATTGTCATAATTCTGTCTCTTCCTCTGGCCCTCACTTGAACTCTGGTATCGGTTCAAGTTAGCTTCAGCTAAGATAGCCTTGTCTAGTACTCCAGCGTATGTCGGCATATTGAGCATGTTGACCCGGTCTTGTATCGGTCCACGCAACCCACTTTCAAACTTTCTCGCCTTCCGATAGTCGTCATCAACCATGTGAGGCGCGTACCTCGCCAATTCGGTAAAGGCACGATCATACTCTACGACTGTCTTGTTCCCCTGTGTCAGATTCTGGAACTCCGTGGTCTTTCGGTTTCGGACGCTAAGGGGAAAATGTTTGTTGTAGAATAACTCCAGGAATCTGGCCCATGTCAAACCCGGATTACTTTCTCGAACCATCATCCACCACCTGCGGGCGTCGTCGTCTAACGTGAACGCTGCCAAAGATACCTTCTGAGCGTCTGTACTGGGGAAAATTTCAAACAGCTTCTCCATTTCTAAAACCCACGCCTCGGCTTTCATTGGTTCTATGCCCCCTTGGAATCTTGGCGGTTTCATTTTCTTGAACTCTCTGATCAGGGTTATCGTGTCGTCCCCATACAAAGCTTGCTGCGGAGGCACTTGTGGTACTGGAGGAGGTGGAGGCGGAGCTGCATATCGGCTCTGCTCGGCCTGGGTAGAGGTGGTACCAGTATCCTGTGGCCTCGGCTGTCTCAGCTCACGGACTAAGCCTTCGACTAACCTTTCCAGTCTCTCCAACCTATCCTCGGAATGATCTCGGCCAACTGGAGGTCTACCTCTCCTCATGATGCTAGGATGTCAACATACAAACACTTCAAATTCCGCGGGATCGGTACCCATATATAAATTTCGGGACTTTCACCCAGGTCAACAACAAATAAATGCAGCACTACAATTTATTTGTTCAACGAACACACTTAATGTATACACTCTTTCTCACAGAAAAATAATAGAATAAATGTAGCAAAATGCAGAGTTGATTTGCAACAAAAGATGGACGAAAATTGGAGTGAATCTGATCAAATGAGAGCTGGTCCATTTATAGAAGTAACGGCACCCTTTAATTTTGAATTGAACATGTAGCATACCTGTTTGAACAGGGTACTGTACCTGTTGGGTTTGAATTTGAACAGATAACCATATTTGTTTGAATTTCAAATCTGTTCGGGTGGATTTAAATTTGAACCGAACCTGTAAAGAATTTCTGAGATCCGAACCTGTAAAGAATTTCTGAAGAGGTGCAAATAAAATTTTGAATTCAAAAATTAAACCTTAAATTTGGACAGAATTTATTCTATCAAAAATAAATTGAATTCAAATATTTTTGGTCCAAAAAGATTAATATTGGGCCGGACAAATCCAACCTCACACCACGCATCCGCACCTAAGCCGAAGTCGCCTGACCGGATGTCTGGCGGCGTGTGGTGATTTTTGGATCCAATGGGTCTAGCTCATAACCTCCCTCTCTACAAAACTTGGATACCCCTTGGGGCACACCCTAAGTTCCAATCATATGTCTTATAAACTCATTCAAAACTTCGCACCAAATCAATGTGGGACAAGCCATTTACACAAACTTTAAGGAATTTCCACCAAAACTCTATTTTCGTGGACCACACTTTGGCTTCAATTTCCCATTCACTCGATAATGGTTTTGAGCAACCAAATATACCACGTGAATCAAAACGCGGCATAGAACGCGTTACCACTTTGACCCGCCAATTTTGGTATAGCGATCCCGGGTTTACCCTTGTTGTATAGTGATCCGGACATGTGTCCGTGGATGTTGGTGGTTGTTTATTATCTTGTTTACATCCTTTCTTACTTTGTATTTGAGTTATAGGTTTGATGTATTACATGTAACTTCAAGCCAAGGGCTTAATGTGTAAACGAGTTAGTACTCTTTTGTTGTAACCAAGTGTTAACTTGGAAAGCTGTAAGCCCGTAGGGCATTTTGTTTTGATGTTAACATGTAATACTTATGTAATGAAACTCAATGAAATAAAGGAATGTGGTTAGTTTAATGTTATTATTTTGAGACCGTTACATTTGGTGCACGGGTCCCACCTAAATAATTGACCAAAGATAGGAAAAAATTCTGATTTTACCCAGAGTTTCAAACCATTTCTAACAGTAACTACGTTAGCAAGCGAATTATAATGTCAACGAATGAAGCTACAAAACAGTTGGCAACGCTGCTGGCTCTTTCTCTCTTTGAAATTCCATCTCCATTACGTGTGTGTATATATATATGTTACAGTGTTAAGGCTTCAATTCAAAACTACTCAACCGTTCTCTCAATTTCTTCGTCAATATGTTTTATCATTGGTTATCAAGTTTATTCTAGAGTTTGAGGGTGTCAAGATTTAGAAAGAAAAACTTGATAAATAGTGAGCCTTTATTTTTTTTATTTTTTATTATTTTTTTTTCAATCTGTGTGATTGTACTTGAGGTCTCCTTCATAAAGACTCCTAACAATTTAATTCTGCAGCATTAAAGCTAATTTATAGTTTGCATTTGACAGTGATATCTTTGTGTTCGTCTGATTTTTAATTTTTCATCTTTCACAGAAAGTGAGGGAGAGGAACATAATCAATCGCAAAAATGGTGTCCCTTGTGAGAATCTTGGGTAATTATAATACATTTTACAAGTGGAAAATTTTATTTACACAAAAAAAACCTCTAAAAAATGATATGATAATGACAGTTATGTAAATTAAAATGATCTCAATAGATATTTTGTTTTAAAATCAATATTAAAGTGCTAACTTGGTGGTGTGTGTTGTTATGTTCATGAATGCTATGTTAGTGCTGATATGAGCTGATATGTACGCCATGTGGATGAGGATGCTATACTTGACAAATGACAAATGTGTGGAAGCTCAAATTCACTCATGCCACTGCTATTGGTTTGACGGGCATTATACTCATACCCATGAAATTCATTGTTGACGTTTTCATGGGTAACTACTGGATGCTCGTCATCTCCAGTTTTGCCTATAGTGCTGAGAGTATCTAATTTGAACTCCCAATTGTTTTGCTTTTTTTTTTTTTGGAGGGGGGGGTAGTTAGAAAAAGGTAATCGGGCCAAAACCCTCTTTGGACATGACCATGGAGAGTTGGACATGAAGAGCCTTGGCCTAAGATAGTTTTACAAACGTGCTAGGTTTGAAGGAGGATCCACATTAAGGGTGGACATGGCTAAAATTGAATATGTTTGGACTAAACTCATATTACATGATAATACTTGAAATCATTTTTCAAGCCAGACCTAGCCCAGGACTAACTTATACTTTATTATGAAATCAGTTCAAAAATAAAATATAAAATTTTTAACGTTATAGACAGCCTCGATATTATACTTAAAAAGTATATTTTTTTCATATTTTGAAATTAAAAAATTATAATTAATTTAATTATTTTGGTGCCTCTTTATTCAAGATTAGTATCACTAATTACTGAAATTAATACATAATTTATGCTTACAAAAGTAAAGTTAAACAATATAGAATATACATAGAAATATGTATACATATAAAAATATATGTTATATAATATAGTTTCTCGAAGCCGTAAATCACGAAGTATTATGGGGTGGTGTTGGGACAAATTCATGTAGTGCGCTAACTTTATATTTATTGGTTAAAGTTGTAGGACTCAATACTTTTTATTAGGATTTTAAGAGACAATTTGATAAATATCAAGTGATAAATAATGTGGAACAATATTCTAAGACCACTAAATAATGACTCGTAGATCACCACTAATCTCATTATATGAAGCTAACACTACAGTTATTGAATATTGATTGTCAGCTATGCAAACCACATTCTATAATCAGACTTTGTCCTCTCAAACACAAAACTTCTTTGCTTGCAGGGTTTGGGATTCCCAACAATGTCAACACCTCCAGTCCTCGCCAAGGCCACAGCCACCTGCAGTCTATACGAGCCCGAATGCATCGGCGAGGGACAAAAGATACTCTTCTACACAGCACGAGCCCTAGTAGCTATCGGAGTCTTAGGCCGCTTAATTTCACTATCCACTTTTATGGTTGAGCAATTAACAGAAGTTATCTGAGACAACTTAACCATGCGCTCCTCTGCCTCTCCCAATAGGCGGAATCATTGTGATTTCACTTACAAAAATTTGGTCACTTCGGTTTGGGATACCGGCCATATGCTCTGTGGTGGCGACACTGATATTCTTGAGTGGTTCAGGTTCGTATAATTGTGTTAAGCCACAGGGGAGCTCGCTGACCACTGTGTTTAGAGGGCTTGTGGCTGCGACCTCCAAGATGTTTCACAAGTGCCCAGAGGAGGCTGATCGGCTCTATGAAATGGTGTTGATCTTCATTTGGAGCCTCATACTCGTCACCTAAGGTATCTCTCAACTTGTTCAAATTACAAGATTCAACCCATTTAATTTTATGTTTTAGTTTATTTATTTCAATGGGGGCTTTTTGGAGGATCCAGTTTTTATGATTTTGGGCCATCTTGCCTTCACTACCTTAATTCAAAACATTTATTTTATCATATATATCTGGAGAAATGAGTGATAAGTATGAGGTTAAAAATAATGGCCTATTTTTGTAAAAACAAATATGATGAAATTACATACCAACAATTAGCGAAAATGTTATATACCATGAAATTGTTGTCCGAATTTTGTCTCAAAAATAAGATAGATGGTATAAATTTAAAGTTGGTAAAATATGAGTCACTCTTAGAATGATTGTGGTCCATAGATGCATTTTTTTAAATAATTTTTTTAGTACTTTTTCTGCATTTCTAGTATTGTTGATTTTTAATTTGAGCTCAATTGGTCCAATTAATTTCAAATAGTGTATTAAAATCATGAACAAAATGATAAAAAAATACAACTATTATCCACAAAACATGGGTTCATTGTCACATTGGCTCATGTCATTTTATCCATCCATATACTGTTTTTGAAATACAGGCACCTAGACAAGGCTGCAATTATATTACCAACAAAGCCTCTAGAAGAACAACTGACAAACAGATGGAAACTCTGCAGTCACATAAGTAGAAGAAACCAATCTCACCATACGAATGATCCCTTTATGCATCACTTTCGTTTTCTGCGGCGTCGTATTTTCCATCAGCAACGCATACTTTGTGGCGCAAGCAAACCACATGAACCACAAGCTCAGCCACGCCTCAATTCCCATTCTAATCCTCCTCTGGAAAACTAGAATTCACCAACCTCTATTGCAAACTCGCCATCAAGCTAGGCGGGTCTATAGAGGTTGATGGCGAGTTGGCAATAGTGATTATAAAGTATATTTCCAAAAACAAAAGAACAATTTGGGGCAAGACAGTGATTATATGCCTTTGCCGATAAGTTTTCTGTATTTTTAATGTGGTCAATTTTCAACAGGTTCGGCCTACGATGAGAGCCTACGGGGTCCATTTTGGTCACGTTGTCACGATGGGACTGGGGAGTTTGGG